TGAGTTGTGAGCTAAACTAGCTATCTTTTTCATGAAACACTGAGTTTACTTCAAAGAACAACTGATAGGCAAACCATGGATAATCAGACTTTGCTATGTGACAGACATTTTCTCTACTATGAACCATGTGAACCTGTCACTTCAAGGAAAACAACTGATAATATCTGTTAATATGATAAATTCAAGCTTTTAAGTGAATAATAGAATTTTGCATAATAGAATTTTGTGAGCTTCATAGCTTCCTAATACTCAAAAATTTCTCTTATGAGATTAGTGTTATTAACAAATGTGATTTTTTGAAATTGTATAATTAATTGTGTCAATATTTGGAAGACCTGTAAAATTCAGTGAGCCTGTATGTTCCAAGTGACTAATGCATGATGCTACAAAATCCATTCCAACTACAAGTAACAGAGCAAGAAGAACTCATTGACTTGGTTTTAGACCCACATTGCAATTAACTTTAAAGAAACTCCTACCTGTCAAGTTCAGGTGTAGTATCAAAGAAGAATATCTATGGTAATCTGAATAGATCATTAAAACACTCCTTACTTTTCCAACTATATTTCTTTGTGAGGCAGGATTTTCTTCATAAACTTCTACCAAAATGAAATATTGCAACAGATTAAATACTTAAGCAGATATAAGAATCCAACTCTCTTCTACTTAGACATTACAGGTTTACAAAAAATGCTGCTCTTCTAATTTTTTTGTTTTGAAAAATACAGTTTTCATAAAAATACATTATGTTAACATGTATTTGTTTATTATAATTTTTAAATGATTTAATGTAGATTTAAAAGCTTCATCCTCAGTTTTAATTTCTAATACAGTAAATATTGTTAGGTATAATCTCAATAAACCATAGCTCATTGGCATCCTAACAAAAGAGTGTGAAGGAATCTTGAGATCAAAGAGTTTGAGAACAGTGGCCTTCAGAGTGTGATCATTCAGTGTATTCTAAACTTGTTTTTATCTGTCTCTCCAGCCCATTTATAATAAGGAGAATATTCACATAAGGGTTGGAACCTGGTGCAAAATTATAATATTTGTATAATATTTGGAAAGAAAATAGTTAAAAAAAAAAACAAGCATTGCCAATTGCAGTCTATTTTTTACAGATCTTTCTCTATAAGTCATTTCTATTAACTGTGCCTTGCTATAGACGTTTATACAAAACATTAAAGACTGGGTATAAAGGAGAAAACAAATTACTCTGTAGAGAACCCAGCAACTCTGCTAAAATACTGTCAGTTATTTATCTACTGTCAGCAGAGGTTGCACACTATAATCTTTGACAAGCTCAGATTCAGAAAGAATGAGGAGAGGGGGCAAACATTGCATTTAAGGGCCTGTTCTCATGCACAGACATTTTAACGCAGATTTAAAGCCAGAATGTATCTTCTAGAAAATGTCACTTTTGATTTTGATACATATCCTAGCAAGTAGGCTCTACATTTGGTTGACTTAGTACGAGATGTGTTAGAGGCTAACACTATATTTTAGACCATTCATGATCCCAGCGTGGAACTAACACAATGAGGTCAGCATCACTTCATTTTTAGAGTTGGCTACCACAATTGCATGATTTCATAGGCATATTTTTTATGATAAGGAGGAGGGTTTTATTTTTGTTTTGTTAGGCAAGGAAATGACAAGGTCTAAAAACCCTGTTGTCCCCTCCAGTGTCCATTTCTCCTTTATGTTTACAGGAAAAACAATCAATGCCTTTTCCTGCCCTGAAATACCTTTTCTCTGGAAAACAGACATGGCCATGGTAAAAATGCAATAGACTGAAGAGCTTCCTGCAGGGTGCTCTAAAGAAAACCCCCACTTCAATCTGGTAGTTAAAGTAGCTCATAATACTAATAAGAATATGTGAAGCACGAGGATTGTGGAGGCTCAAACTGAGAGGGTTAAATAACAAACACCCTGGTCATTCCTAGTAGAAAACATAGTTTACTTTAGAATACAATTCATATCGACTGGTCAATTATATGATTTCTACCCATACAATCAGGGGTCTAAATACATGTGTGCTTGTAGCTGGGGATATTTGATGAATGCTGAACCAGAATCTTAATTTTCTAATTCATATTCACCAATTAAAAATAAACTGTATTTTTATGAGCAAATTTACATAAATCAGATGATAAAGCATCTACCACTAAAGGGTAGGAGTTCAGCTCACAACATTTGCATATTTTCTCCTAAAGAAAATATAGGCGTTTCAGATTTTCATTGAAGAGTCTTGCTGCGTTGGAACTCTAATGGGCTTAGAACAGTAAATTTTGAAGAAACTGATTGCTACCCCTGTAGCTAGTAAATGTCTGCCTAGACCCAGTGGCATTTGAAAAAAGTGTTTTATCATAAAATTATCCCAGCAGAGTCCATTCTGCAAGATAACATCATCATCATCATCATCAGTACTCCATGCAGGACCCAACAGCTCTGGCACAATATTGCCAGTCATTTATCTGTTGTCAGCACAGGTTACACACTGTAATCCTTGACTGCCTCGGAATTAGAATGTCTTTGATGTCCCCACAAGAGTTTTTTGCCCGAAGGCTTTACCAATGCTCGGCGGCTCAGTGTTTATTCCTCGTAATCTTCCTCTCATCTCCAGGCTAGCAGTGACAGATGGTTATGGGCACACAATAGTATTAAGAGTTTGATATTTTTTTTATGCTGTGCTCTCTGTACAACAAATAGCTATCAGACGCGGGCCAGAGAGCTGACATGGCTCGCTTAGGTAATGGCAAACAAACAGCTCGGGTTGATGCTTTCTGTCATTTTCCCTCCTAACCCTGCTTGTTTTCATTGTATACTCTCAAAGGTAAACTATATTAACCTTATAGACTGTTATTAAAAAGATATATCTATATGAGCATAAAGTGCTTTTCTTTTCTCTTTTTCTTACTCTTTTGATTATGAAAGTAATACTGCTGACATATTGAACAAATATCGAATGTCAACATAAATTTTTAGTGTGTGATAATATCCCCCTTCATATAGCTGTGTGTCAGGCGGGAACCCGCGGATGATGCATAGCAGTAAATAACCCAAACAAAATTAGTTCTCTTGTCAGCTTCTACCTTGTATGTCCCCAGGCATCAGTAAAATTGACTGCACGCTAGATTTTCAAAATTAGCCCTAATGTTAGCTATGTGTCTGGCAACCTCCAAGTTTCCAATGTTCTACTATATTACCCGTAAGGATGAATGTGTTACTTTTATATTTTGGCATTTACTCTTGCTGATGTGGCTTTTTTCCCTCTTCTCCAAATTAAAAATAATTTAGCTTTAACAATAAGAATGTGCACAAACATAATGCCGCATCTCTTTAAGCAACTAACTTTAGGCAATTAAATTAAATTAAAGCAAAAATATACAAAGGAAGAGAGGGAATTATTCAATAGAATATTGTTAATTTTATTAACATAGCTCTGTCTTATTTTGTGCAAAGTGTTGAATAACATGGTTCTCATTCTTTCCTCCATATTGCTGTTTTGTAACAGCAGTCCACAAATTATTTAATTTAACATTTTTATAATTACCTAGAACCAAACTTTTTCTTGCAATAGATTCTTACTTCAGAGACAATCAAAGAGTAGCAGGATGAAAGAAAAGGTTTTTCAGAAGGGAATAAATGATGACATGTATTTTACCTTGAAACAGGTTAATCTCATCCAGACCCACAGCATTTTAAAATAAGATAAAAGAATACTGAACACTGTCACATTCTGAGTAAAATATGATTTAAAAATAAATATTACTCCCTTACGAAGGCTATGCTGGGAGTGTGAAGTTGAATAAACAAATCCGAAAGCACATTCCACATCAACTTTCAATCCCTAAATTTTACGTTCATACATTTAGAATCAAAGATGAAAATCCTTTTAGGTACCAGATGCTGCAGATCAACTAGGAGAGCTTCTAGAGTTTTAATGTGCTGGAAGTCAAATCCTCGGCAAAGGCGCTTTGCCCGGCCGGTGTGGTGTGCTTATTACTTCACCTGCAAACAGTTGTTCTCAGAAAATCAGACCTAATGATCAGCCCCACATCTCTGCAATAAAGAGACCATAATCTGTGGGGGAAGTGAACTCTAATCAGGCCACATGCAGATTAAACTAACTGGGAGGAATAAAAACTAGATTAAAATGTTCATGCCTAATACCAGAAGATTATCAGGACATTTTACCTCTTTAAATCCTAATTTATAGGAGCCAGGGTTAAGTTTATGAGTTTATATTTGGTGGGATTACATGCTGCAGCTGATTTTCCTCTGTTTAGAAAAGATTTGGCTAGAAAGTATTTGCTTAGCACAATACAGAGGCATCTGGGAAAAGGGAAACAGTTTCAAATATACTGATATATATCTTAGGACAAGTAAAATAAAGCCACCCAGTTGAGACTGGCCAAAATAGTAAATAAAAATTGTTCTTGTTTTAATGCTAATGTATCTATAAAATAGTTCTGTGATAACAGAACATATATATTTATATATGTATAAAATGGAATCTTATACTTTGAAACTTCTTGAACAAGATTTGATTTCCTAGAAGTGTCTAGTTACTTTTGTAAGGTGAGCAAATCTCTGCAAATAATTCTCTGCAATTCAATTCAATCTAATCATCCAACCATCAATATAATGACATTGAGTAGTACCACATTAGCGTACTGCCACATTAAAATCGTCTTTTTCTTTTCTTTTTTTTTTTGTCCTTTTTGTGACCGATAAAGGGATCACAACCCTTGGCTTTGTGTCGCCCGCACTGCGCTCAGCCAGTGAGCGCACCGGCCATCCCTATATAGGATCTGAACCCGCGGCGGGAGCGCTGCTGAGCTCCCAGCGCTGCACTCTCCCGAGTGCGCCATGGGGCCGGCCCAAAATCGTCTTTTTCTAAAGCTATAACAACAGCAAATTAATAAATCAATGATCAGAATATATTCCTATTACTAGTTCTACAACTCTTACCAAGTTGGCATTTCTTGACTTACCACCTGTGAGGCCACACAATGTGCAATGGTCTTTGCTGATCATCAACTCCACTCAAAATGTCACAGGGATTAAGAGTCACATTTTGTTTATTTTCCCCACGGAGAGAGCTTGAATTATCTGATGAGTTGGACTTTTTCAATTCTGACTCCTGCGCTGATGAGTTTCTCCAGTTTTCCTGTTGCACGGTATCAAGGCCAGAGTGTGCACCATATTCAGAATTAAAACTCTTCAATAAATTCTCAGAATCTCTCTGCTTTGGTTGGAAAGGAAGGGCCGTGGACAAAGTGGCACTGCTATTTCCTTTAAGACTGAGCATCTTCATTAAATGGGTTGTTTTGTGCTTGGGCATGAATCTGTTACAAAAAGCAAATGCAATATGCTTTTAGTGGAAAAATCTGTAAAATTTGCTCCTTACCTTTCTGTTAAGGACATGACGATTACAAACAAAGCTGGGAAAAAATAATGCTGTTATAACAAATATTCTAGGAAAAGTACAAAAAGTAGTAGCCACCAAAGAGAAAGTTCAAAAGTTTGAAATTGGAGCAGGCTGTCTTTGGATGGTTTCCAATGAGTTTCTGTGGCTATAAAACCTGCACAGCATGAACCATCAAACATAAGACTAGAGAGAAGGTTTATCACTCTTCCCTCATTCATCTTTCTGTACTTCCTTTTTGTACTTTCCCATCACCGTATGGCCCAGTGCTTATTTTCAAGCCACATTAGTTCATTAAACTACAAAAATGTTTGAAACTTCTTTGATTAACACTTGCCATTTCTGCTCACCTGACTATTCTGTATTCTTGAGCACCAGTACATACTCTTTATTAAACTGACCTTGCTAATGTTTCCTGAAGTATATTTTAGTATCTTTTCAATTATCATTTCTCCCCTATCTTCCCATAATGTTTTCCCACAGAGCTCAATATCTATTACTTATTTATAGAGAATATAAATAAAATGAAATCTTAAAAAAATTCTAATATAGCCTAAAACCTGTGAGCCATATATACAAAGATGATCTATCCTCAAGGAGTCAACCTTCTTCTGGGGAGCAAGCTATAAGGGCTTAGAATAGACAAGAGTGCGAGACAGACATGTGCACAGAAAACTAACCTATGCTGGAACATATTAAATACACAGTGGACATTCCAACTTTTTAAACTGAGGAGGACAAGACATTCATTCTGACTTGGGGGTCAGTAAAGGCTTAAATAGGATTTTAGTTGAAGGATTTTGCAAGGGGCAGTTCTGTGCTGACAGAACAGTGTGATCAAAGGAAAAGGGACATGAAGCAACATCGACTCTTCTGGGAACAACATGCAACCCAAAGAGGCTGGGATGCAGGTCTGGGATGTGAAGCCTGGAGAGGTGGACTAGGCCAAATGACTGTGTGCTTTCGCAGAATTCCTGAGGTCCATCCACAGATGGGCTCCTTTCCTGATTTGTTGAGTTAGTGAAGAAACGGAGAATACATGCATTAGGAGGCAGGTGGAAAAGAAAAACCATGGAAAAATAGCAATAAGGAACATTTGGAAGAGTAGAAAGAGAATTGGAGAGAGTAATATTACACTATTGAATCAAAGGCCCTGAAAGAATGTGTAAAAAGGGAATCAAGAACCCTAAAAGAATGTGTAAAAGGGGGCGTGAAATACTACAGAGGTGCTACTGCGGCAGAAATAACAAGCAAGTTTTGGCCTTGTCATGTTGTCGTTGCTGTGGAATGGTGCGGGCAGAAGCCAGACTGCAGGAGGTGAGGGTTTGAGTGTAAGAGAGAGAGAGAGAGAGAGAGAGAGAGAGAGAGAGAGAGAGAGGCAGAGAAAGGGAGGTAGAGAGGAGAAGGGTGGGGAAGGCAAGTTTGAATTTTTTTTAAATAGGATGTGTGGACCCATGGATATTCACTTGGGGACACTTGCTAGGGAAAGAAACAGGATCCTGAAGAAACAAAAGTCTTACAAGACAGAAGTAAAAAACAATGTTAATGGGATAATGGCAGGATTTTTGGTGTGCACAGGGGAAGTAGGGCCTGGTAAAAGAGAATAAACCTAGCTGTCTTGCAATGCTGAGGAAAGAGGGAGAAAAAAAATGAAGCTGAACCCCCCTCCAAAAAAAACACAGTTTTGGGTGGCAGGCTTGGGTGGAATCTAAGAAGCTATGAAGCTATATCACTAAAACATTAGGCCAGGTCATCTATTTCAAGCGAGGTGAGCAGAGGCAGAGATGGGATTTAAGTAGTGAGCTGAGGTTTCAGAAGAGTTACTAGAGGTGGGGAGAGGGCGTGAACTAGGGCTGAAAGCAAGGGCTGATGATCACCACTAAGGAACAGTGAGGAATCCACGGGAGCTGGAAACAAACCTTTGATTATTATACTCTATGTACATTCCAGAATAAGAAAACTTGTTGTGGGGGCTTCTATGCTTGTTTCATGAAGCCCTTTAAATGTCTATTATGATTTCAAATACCTTAAGAAAAATCAAGCAAATATATAAGCACCCCCCTAACCAATAAATAGATGATTACATATAGATAGACAAAACATAAAGAATGGTACTAACCCCTTATGTATGCCCTAATAAAATCACAAATTAGCTCTTGATTTAAAATAGAAAGAAACCAAGGCAATTATAGATTGCAATTTTAGATCTCACAGGTCCAAAATTATTAAGGGAATAAGTCAACTTTCTTCCTGAAACAAATTAAAAACTGAGAAAATTCTAAGAAACTAAAAAACAAAAACAAAAAAGATTCCCATTGATCACCACAAAAGGTTAAAAAAAAATGACTATGGCGATATCTCAACTTGTCCTGAACAAATGGGACAAATGGTAAGAGAAGGAACATCTGTACATATTTGGAAAACAACAACAAAGCAAGTGAAGTAACCTGTTTGTTTACATCAGATAAAGAATGCCAGGCAAGCTTAAAAAAGATTTTAACAGAATTACAAACTTAGTGCATGAAGGGTTCACAATTTAAGAAAAAAAAAAAAATGAAATCAATGGGCACTGAAACAACATATCCTCATTTTAGAAAACAGTATCATAACCCACCTTACTCAAAAAATCCATTTATATTGGCCAGCACGTGAGCAAAATTGCAAATTAAAAGAGAAAGGAGATTGGCTAAGGGGTTGTAAACAGTGGGAATTGGTAACTGACAAGGAATTTAGCTCTGGGCAAGGTGGTAAGCCTGCTTTTATTGAACACATTTCCCAAATGTTCTCAAGGACGCAAAGAATCCCATGTTAAGACAGGTTGGGGATGACTGACCTGATAGGTGGTAGTGAATAAGGACATGAAAAGATGTAGAATACAAATAGGGACAGTAACCAAAACAGCTTACAAATCTCATGAAATTGAAAAAATCATAATAAACCTTGAATGCAAGTAGGACACACAGAAAACACTATTTAGACCATCCTGAGTTTGATAAGATGAGCAAGTGTTGATTTGAGCCACCAAACTGATGTTACTTAGTTCTGGATCCTGTTGTACAGGGAAGGAAGACACTAAGTGTGTGGGAAAAGAATACTGTGCGAATGCCAATTTCTTCTGGGGCACCTGAGAACTGTAGATGTTTGAAAATTAGAGAGTTCTTAGAAGAGCAATAATAATGATTAAGGCAATGGAAGAATTGATTTATGAGGACGGATTAAAGGTGTTAAATATGAATAGTCTGGTTAAGTGACAACGAGAGGGGTACATAATAAGAGTCTCCAAGGAAAAAGAATAATTATTTAGCTTGGTACAAGGGAGTATAACTAGGAGTAATGAGATGAAATTAAGAATGGGAAAATTTAAGCTGAATTTGAAGAAAAACTCCCTGACGGTGTAATTTATTAGTTCATGGAATAAATTCCCTATGGAAATGCTACATCTAGGGAAACTTAATAACAGAACAAAATACTAATAAATAATATAGATAACAATTCAGTACTTAAAAGAAAGTAGTTACAAGCTGTGTTTTCCCTGTTTATAATATCTTTCCATATATTTTTAAAGAGTCTATTTATTTATTTATTTATTTATTTTATTTTTTTTTTGTCTTTTTCCATGTCTGGCAACGGATTGCAACCCTCAGTGTTGCCCCCGTACCAGACCGGGGACCGGCAACGGGATTGCAACCCTCGGTGTCGCTCCCACGCCTCGCTCAGCCAGTGAGCGGGAACCGGTCTGTATGTGGGATCCGAACCCTCGGGCGGGAGCGCCGCCGCACTTCCCAAGCGGCGCACTTATCCAGTGCGCCACCGGGCCGGCCCCGAGTCTATTTATTATAATGATTGCCACCAAAACCTAACAGGATACCTCCTTTAGCTGGGGGAAGTCAAAAACAATTTAGTTTTCATATACTCTGCAGCAATAATGAAGGCAGAAACTGAAATAATTTTTTACTACTTTATTTCAATAGAGCTGGTCTTGAAGCAGGCTGGACAAATGTATTCATATTTCTAAAAACACAATGAAACAATTCTAATCCACCATCCCACAAAGAGTCTATTCTGATTCTCTGTGCCACAAAACCCCTATTTTCATAGCATGTTTAATATAAACAATTTATTGCCATAATAGAAATCAAAAAACTTTATTTCAGCTTTTCTAAATGTATCTCTATGGTCAATTACTTCACATCAATACCAAGATCAAATAGCCATAATACTAACAAGCAGTTTGCTTAATAATAGTTACCACACTAATTAACTCATCCAGAACATTCTTAATCAGACACTATTTATAATGTACAGTTAAGAGAAGCCTGGCAATAAACTATTCTATGCTGAAAAAGAAAATAATACCTTACTGATGGAGTGAAAACTGGCTTTTCTATAGATCTTGGAGATAATATTTGCACTGTTCTGGCATTAACTCAATGAAGTGACTATGCAAATTGCCACATGTCTGAACACTTCCTTTCTCTTCTCCAGCTCCAGCTCTGGTGGAGGTGCTAATGAGAAAAGAAAAGGTCCCGAGGTAAGGAGTGAAAGACAAAAAAGAGAGAGTCAGAAGAAAAACAGTGATCTGCCTTTTAGAGAATATGTCAGGTTTGCCATTTAATAATCCCGCCCCTCCCCATTTTTCTTAAAGAAATGCTACTGCTCACCTTACTCACATAAGGTCTCTTCCTGTTTCCGAATTTCTCAGAAGCTCTACTAGAATCAGTTTCTACTTTTAGAGATATTCTGATTACCTTAATCATTTTCAATCTGTTATTAGCCATGGGACCCTGTCCCCAACTTTTTTCCAACCAACAGCCAATACTGTGAAACAGAAATAGAGCCTCCCTCCTGCCACCTCTCCTCCCAAACTCCTTTCTTCCCCACTTCTGTACCCCTATGTGGTTCCAGAGGCACTGCCACAAG